GTATTCTCACACATTTTTACTGATTTCGGTCTCAGGGTAAGATCCTCGTGGGGACCAGGAATGCAGAGATCATTGAAGTAGGCGAGAAAAATGCAGCGTGCAACATCTTGGTGAACGGACACATGGACGGGCCGATCTGGGGCTTGGGCGCTCATCCCTCCAGAGACGTATTCCTGTCCGCGGCAGAGGACGGGACTGTCCGTTTGTGGGACATTCCGGAGAAGGTCAGCCCCAACGCTTTTGTACTTGTAAACATATAAGATGTTGCTTTTTGTCGAGGGAAATAAAGATGCTCGTCCCCGTTCACAAAATTATTCTTAATAACAAGAATGTGCTGATGTTGCATTCGCCTTGTGGGGAAACAGAAGATGCTGAATAAGGTGAACCTGGGCCACCCGGCGCGCACCATCAGCTACAGTCCTGAAGGAGACATGGTGGCCATCGGCATGAAGAACGGAGAGTTCATCATCCTGCTGGTCGCCTCGCTTAAAATCTGGGGCAAGAAAAGAGACCGGCGCTCTCCCATTCAGGATATTAGGTAACGACAGAAGACTGTGGCACGAGGTTCAGTCGAGTTCAAAGGGGGAATACGGACTCTCAAACATCTCATTAAAGGCAATTTCACACACATTTTTCTTTGGAAAGACTTTTAAAACGCTGCGCATCTTTCTGACAGGTTCAGTCCGAATTCTCGTTACCTGGCCGTGGGCTCCACTGAGAGCGCGGTGGACTTCTACGACCTGACGCTCGGACCGCAGCTGAACCGCATCAACTCCTGCAGGGACATCCCCAGCTTTGTGATGCAGATGGACTTCTCGGCGGACAGCACATACGTCCAGGTATAGTGCTCCGTCCACTCTGCAGCGAGAGGCCATGTCTGTCTCACCCTCTGACCTGAAATGTCTCGAAACAGATATCCACGGGTGCGTACAAGCGGCTGGTGTACGAGGTGCCGTCTGGGAAGCCGGTCACAGAGCAGCCCCATATCGACAGGATCACCTGGGCCACCTGGACAAGGTGCGAGTCCCAGAGTTTAGACAGACACATGCGCGTTGCAAAGCTAATGGCCAAATATCTAATTTGCTCTCTCTCTCTCTTGGTATCCAGTGTCCTCGGGGACGAGGTCATAGGCATCTGGTCCCGCAACACTGACAAAGCAGACGTCACTTGTGCCTGTGTGTCCCACTCAGGCCTTAACATAGCCACAGGCGATGACTTTGGAATGGTGAAGCTCTTTGACTTTCCCTGTCCGGAGAAGTTTGTAAGTATTATTATACTATTATTATTATGACATTAATATTTACCTCATGCCATCTGTCTGGTGGTACAATAAGATTTCTCTGAACCTTTTAGACTGAGAAATGTTATAATGTTTTGACTCGCTCTGTCACTCTGGCACTGATATTTGTGTTTATCATATATATATATATTCATAGTGTAAATATATGTACGTCTGTCTTCACAGATCCATCTTTTTACTGTCGTCTCAAAGACACCAGCTGGATAATATGTAATGTGATCTGTTTTCAGGGCAAACACAAACGGTTTCTTGGCCACTCTGCTCACTTGACCAATGTTCGCTTCACAACTGGAGACCGCTTCGTCGTCAGCGCCGGCGGAGACGACAGGAGGTATGACTGAGGCTCCAAATAGCAACATGGCTTACAAATGAGATCCCATTCACATGTGAGGTGACGCATCCTCTCCTTTATGCCGTTTCCAGCGTCTTTGTGTGGAGGTGTGTCCATGCCGCTCACTGAGAATCACACCTGGACCACCCCGCCGCCGGAAGTCTCCCGGCATGGCGCTCCAGAGAGACAATTCTGCCAAGAGGGTGCATTGAAAAGAGGAGGGAGAGGAGGAGGAGGAGGAAGAGGACAGATGTGGCAGCTTGTAAATGAGTGGTGAACTGACTTACTGCCTCAAAACTAGGTGCATGCATATGTGATAGGCTCTTTTTCATTGCGGCATCAGTCTTGATTGTCAACACAGGCGGAGGGCGTACAGCCCTGCGCTGACGACATCACATCATCCTTAAAAAAAAGTGAGACATTCCTCAATATAATAAAATAAATATGTTTTGTTTTTTTAAGAATGAGTGTATCAGTGTACATGTCGAAAATGGTAGTTTTGCCACTTGATAGGCCTATGAAATTGTGTTATTGACAATGCCATTTTCATTTTTTTTTAAACATGTAGCGAACTGAATTAGCCTTAAAATCTGAGTGTCTAATTTACGAGGGTTTGGATTTATTTTGTATTAGTTGGTTTTACTTTTTGAATCATGTACTCATTTGTTTGTTCTATTTTTTTAACTGGTGATTCCAAATCCTGTGGCCTTCCTCCTGAATGTAACATCCACTGTTATGTTCTGGATGTCAGCATGCCAAAGCATACTATGCACTGTACACCTGACCTGCTCACTGTGTTTCCCCGGTGATTCCTTTATAGTTTATGTGGTTGTGTTGTTGACCGGTTGACCTCAAACCTCCCTCGCCAGTGTTCCCCACATGACGAGTTAAACGTGTGCGTACTTGTTCGAAGATTTGTTTGTGGTACGTGGGTGTGCATGGCTTACTGGAAGACAACTTGTCTGAACCAAATTCCTCAGAAGAAAAAAAAAAAAGAACAGCTGTAAATTGATGTTTCAATACACAGTTGCAATTCTTTCTCACTTATCAGTGTGCTGCTATGACGTATTATTGTCGCATTTTCATGAATATGAATTGTGTGACTTTTTTAAACAGTAATTTAATGTTTTGTGTGAATATATTGCTTAAATGGAATGTTTTATCAGAGAAAAAATTAAAAAGCAAAATATTTTGCTCCTTGTATTAAGACTATACACAAAAAATTGTTGCTGCATACTTTGATTTACATTATACCAGTGTACATATCATTTGTATATATTCTTTTTGTATATTTTTTGTGAGATGTTTCTTAAATTCCACTTTAATAAAAAAGGCAACCATGACTGATGTTTTCACTGAATTCTGACCAATTATTATTATTATTATGTTGACAAAGTAACCCTTTTAAGGAAATAGTCAATGCACTAACCTTTTATCAATTATCAATAAATAGAGACATTTGTTTGGTACCCTTTCATCACTCTAATGTAATAATGAAAGTGCAATCCATTATATAACACACAATTTGCTTTTAATAATAATTGAAAAGACTCAAGATATAAATACATCCATAATTCACTCCATTTAATGTTAGATGAAACAAATACAATAACTGCGATGATATATTTAGACTATTTACATTTTTTACACCCAGGGAAAGCCTAACAACTCATTTCAGCGTTTGTATTGGTTTGAATGCATGATGATTAACAGTCGAATATCGGCAACTCAGCTATCAATGAGCAGACTCACTCACTGTCTGCAAAATAACACGTTCATAAATATATACCCCGGACTTTGATTCAGTTCAATTGGTTCACACCTAGAAAACCAGTAGGTGCAATCCATTATGTTTAAAATTGTCTGATATTTAATTGTGTTTTGCACACAAACCAGGGTATCAAGCGAGGTGGTTGCAAGGTCATAGTTTGACAGAGAAGGAGCTGCCACAGGAGCAGCCGTGATCTGCTTGAGGATTCTTGAGCACGAGGAAGGTGGAGCGGATCAGCTCCTGGGTGAAGTCCACAGTGGCTCCTTTGACGAACTCCAGGCTTTCCTCGTCCACAATAATCCCCACTCCTCCCTGCTCGAACACTCTGAAAGCAGAGCAGCGACGAATGCAGGCGGGAACACAGTTGATTGGATTAATAGACGGTAATAACACAATGTGTAAAACAAAAACCTCAAAAGGTAGGTTTGCGGTAGTTTACCTGTCATCTTCATTCCTTTTGTTGTCAACAGAAAACTTGTATTGAAATCCCGAGCAGCCTCCACCCTCCACATGTATTCTCAGATAATCACCCTTCTCCATGATTTCCCCTAGTCTCTGTTTAGAAGGGGGGGGGGCGAGATCATGATTACACATAACGCTGAAGTGAGTAACTATAAATGACATTTCAAGTGTTTTCGCAGTGTAATGTGGGGGGATCAATACAACGTTTGGATTTTAAGACATGGGCGTATGATGCTTAATCGTGGGCATCTAACTGACCTTCACACATGACTCAGTGAGTTGCACTTTATCTTCAGATGGTTCTGACCCCGCCGTCGTCTGCCGGTTGGATGCGCTGCTGAAGCGATGGAGCCCCGTTGTGTAAAGGGGGGGCTGTTTTTGAGGAAGTCGATGTAGCAGTTGGCTCACATTGTGGTTGGACACAAGAGTTGATGCCCTGACAAGAAACGTGTATATGATGTTAAGATCAGATCGCACGACATGACACTTAACGGAGCTCTGGGGTAAGCTAACGTTAGCTAGTTAGCTAACGGTCGCGCGAAAGGCTAGCTTAATAACAACCTGTCAACACTTCAACACACAGCTCTTTTTCTCCCTGTGGACACTTGGTTTATAGGTTATGGTCTCTACTATTGCCTACGATATAAGATAAACAAGCGTTACCTTGCAAGGTGCAATACTTTTGACTTTGACGCAGTAATCATAGCTCCTCTTACGAATGACATCTTCCATAACAAGTGTCGGTAGTTTGAAGCCCAGCCTACAACAAAAGGGCTGATCGCGCCTTCATTGGCTGAAATGATTGTCTAACAAATAGATACGCCCATATTCATTCAATACAGTCGTTTGATTCGTCAATTTACATGTCAGTTTGAAGGCATTGCCTGTGCCGTTTGTGATTTTTTTTTTTTACCTCAGTTTTGTTTTTCAGGCAGATATCTCCGCCAATAACGTTATTTGTTGCCTCAACGCTACGCATATACCAGATATATGTTTATTTAAGTGGGGGTTGAAGATGGCTGGGGTTGTGTCTACAGTCATGTATTCGTGAACTGCTTGAGATTTTGAGCATTCAATTATATCTTTGAAGGCGGGGTCTTACTGGTGGGAAGTTTCCTGGCAGGCTTCGCTGCGGGCAACAAAATAACCCACACTAATAATCAGCTGTCTCTGATAATGGGCGTGGCTTGTGTCTCGTGACACAAGGAAATAAAAGTGCCAGGCGGTGGTTGTTTATCTCACTTCGGAAACTGACGGAAGCCCTCCAAAGGTACAGTTTTTTATCATTTGTTGTTAGCTTTACTAGTCTTATCAGAAGGCTATCGTGTATTTACCGTGTATATCAGTTAGTCGAAGAGTTACGTCTTCTGTGTTGTGAAACTCCACAAGCACTACTAAGTTACATTCAGGACGTTTGAGGAAACAAACGGTCCAACGATTCAACATTTTCCGCCCTAATCCATACTTTTGGTGAGCTTTACTTTATTTTTATTACGTAACGTTAATTTGTTTTTCGTGGTTTTTCAGGAAAGGAACCATGGACGTCCGGGCTCGTTTTTTCGTGCTGCTTTGCTTGATCGGACTCACCTGTGCCGAGCCAGTGAAATTCATCGACTGCGGTAAGCTTGACTTCACTCATGTGAAAGACTTTCAGTTTGTATTGTTGCAAACCGCTTTTAACTTCGCACCGACTAACGTTATATCTAAAGGCCCGGTGATCAATTCGTATGTGCGTTTTTTGTTTTTGAACTATTTCATTTTTGGGGGGGGATTCTCCGTAATATCACCCCATCTAGAATGATTATTTGATTTAGCACATCTCTAAACGGGGAGAAAAGAAGCCGCAGCAGAGTCCATGATAGAAATGCGTAGTCTCATTTGCACGGACTAAATGCCAGATCCTCAGTTTTCACGTTGTTACTCATCGTTTGTCACGAGACTTTATTGCCTCAGTCATCGTTTTTTACATTTTTGGAAAGCTACAGGAGAACTCTACTTTTCTATTAAAGGCAACGAAGTTTTTTTTTAATTTAATAATTATTAAATTGGTATTTTTAATCTGTACTTTTTTTTTTTTTTTTTTTTAAGGTTCCTCTTCTGGCAAAGTTTCCATAGTGGACATTACCCCATGTGCCAGTCAGCCATGTCGGCTAGAACGAGGACAGTCCTACAGTGTCAACGTGACGTTTGACAGTGGTAAGGGCGCTTTATTGTTTTAAGAGGACTTCTTCCAACAGTCCAAAAAAATCAGCTTTTCTGACGTTGTTCATGTGTGTGTGATCTGTTCTAGCTGTTCAGAGCCAATCGAGCACAGCCGTGGTTCACGGCATCGTTGCTGGAGTTCCCATCCCCTTCCCCATCCCCATAGAAGATGGCTGCAAGTCTGGTATCCAGTGTCCCATCCAGAAGCAGCAGCAGTATCACTATCTGAACTCTCTTCCTGTGAAGTCGGAGTACCCTGCCGTAAGTGCTAATTAAATCCGCAGCCATACTTTAAAAAAAAAAAAAATTTATTTCCCCATCAGGTTCTTTTTAATGTAGACAGATTGCTAAGTAAAAATGTAATTTTGTGTATTTCATTTTATTGTGTAAAAGGCAAAACCTGTATTAAATTTCTCTTCTGCATGTGCAGATAAAGCTGGTCGTGGAGTGGGAACTGAGAGATGACAACAAGAAAGACCTGTTCTGCATCCGGTTCCCAGTTCAGATTGTAAACTGAGTTGGCCAAAGTACTTTTGATACTTTTTTTTTTTTTTTTTTTTTTAAAAGGGATTCAGCTATGAGTAAAGAAATATGTGTTTCCAGTTCAGATTTTATTTTATTCCTTCATCAAATGTCTTTCACTGGTTTGTTGGAACTTGCACATTTTGACTGCTGAAATAAAATGCTAAACTCTGCAGTAACCTTCATAAGTTTGTTTTAAGCGAGATGGATGTGACTAGTTTGTATTTGTCAATGACCCTGAATCACTTCCACCACTGCAGCGCAATTGTCTTACGGTCTGCTCTGTAGTTAGAAAAATTGCATTCTGTATTTTCAAAAAAACTTTATTTTTTTTTCTTACTGACTGTACTAATAGACCTGTTTAATTGGAGATTGTAAATTTAGAATAAAAACACATGAATGTGGCATAGTGTGAACATATTTATTTCAAAATCAATGCTGGAGGATTCAGTGAAGGGACTCGTTTTGTTAAAACCAGTTTGTTACTGCGGCCACGTCTGGCTTTCCCTCCTGTCGGATAACTCTGGATGGTAAAACACGAGGTCCAACAGTTCTGAGAATTTATTGGTCAACAGCAGAAAATGACCATGTGACTAATGGATTTCTTAACACCGAAGGACTAGTGCAGGAACCCATTGCGAGTATACAGTGAACCTTCCGGGATCTCTTTTCACAGCAACAGCTTGGAATGCAAGCTCCGGTTACTTTTAAGGCAGTGTGTTGGGGGCTAACTGTAGCTTTCGCTCAGATTCCTGCAGAACTAGTTTGTATGCTTGAGAGATTTTGGTTTCAGTGCAGGCAGCGAGGGGGGCCTGTCCCGGCTCATTTAGAGTTGGAGTAGGTGCAACACTCAAGATGTGCATAGCTACAAAACCGCAAGGTGGGAAAATCTTTCCACAGTAAAGTCAATGTTGCAACAGACCCCATACTGGCAATCCACATGACGTTCTTCGCTATGGAAGTCTGAAACCAAGCAGTCGATAGCGAAGGCTACCCCTTATTGTAGCGGTAGCTAGGGAGGTGGATGTCACATATTTGACCAGACTTTGCCTTTATCCACATACTCTCATCAACAACCTTTGTTCCACTTTGGAATCTTTGTCCTTTTTACTGTCCGTTTTGCTTCAGCCTCTCCAGCCGCTGGAGCAAAGCATTCCCGAAGGCCTCCCTGTAGCCCGGACTCAGCTTGTCGAGAAGTGAGTAAACGGTCTCGTGATACTGTGTGTTTAAATCCTCGTCCACTTGATTGAAGGCATAGCCCACCACCTGTTCGCCAGAGGGGATTTCATTATAAAACATGCATACAATAGGAAATAAAACACGACGCCACAATGCTGCCCTTTTCACAAAGCTTACCCTTAATCCGGCCTCTGTGAGCTCCAGACAATATCTGTTTCCCTCTCTTGTTTCCACATTGATGTAGGCCACATCTGACGCGCTGTTGAGACTCTGCGACACGTGCATTTCATCCACGGCAAAAAGCACGTCTTTTACCACGGCCTCTGCCTCCAAACTCATGTCCTTGACACTTCCAAGCACAACGCAGTCCTCCTCAAAGGAAGAGGTGACGGATTCCTCGGGCTGGCAGTCTACATCCATCCCCTGTCACAGAAAAACAACTGTATTGGCTGACTCGGCGGAAGCCCGGATGATAATCTGTATGTTATAAAACACTTACTGAATCATAGAAAAAGATGTCTGTCAACAATAAATGAGCTCACATCAGAAATCCTGTGGTTTACTGGGCCTGTCAGAACAAGCAGCTTTTTTTTTTACTGCTGCCATGGTAACAACATTGGACTAGCTGTCAAGTATTCGCTAGGATTGGTAGTAAAAGCTGAAATACACCAGTATAACAGGCCAAAAACGTAAGGCACTGCAATGCACAGCTTTATTGGCAAAAGTACATTTGTTTAATCACGTGTTTCCTTAAAGACCATTATCTCAAGATAAAAAGCAGAACTGGAACTAACAAGCATTTGACTGTAAACTGTTTTTACTTTAGAAGTGCAAGGTGGACTATTTTAAACACATGAGGTATCAGTGTGAGAAACACTTCCTTCTTCTGCACAGTTTAGCAATGACTCAGAAATTGAAAAAGGCCAATGTGTTCCCACAAAAGAAGACTAACATAGTCTCCAGTATTTCTGGAAGATAAGTTCTCTCTGTGTTTTTTCCCCATCATCTTACAAATGGTTCACTCATGAAAATCCCTCTGAATGTAACAGGCTGCTAAACGCAGACATATCAATGGATTCCATGAAAATAAACAACGTAGTGACACTTCCATCTGTACATCTTCACTATCGGTCCTCCAAAGCGGCGATGCATTTTTGTTAAACTGCTGATTAAATCAACACAGTGCTGGTAAACTCAATTAGAATGAGAGATATAGAAACAGACATTTGCCATTTCCTATACATTATAAACTCAACCCACGACGCTGTAATAAAGCCAGTCAAAGAAGCAACACATTGAAGGATAGTTGAATACCTATTTGGCACATCTGCCCCCATTCAGCAGTGGACAATGTACTTAAATTCTTCACTAAAGCAATACGACTATTACTATGTGGCATTATCTTGTTTTAGTTGGTGGAGGCGGATCTGATTTTAAATATTTAAATATGACTTTTATGCATATTTTATATTGCAAATATATATGCAAATCATAGAACATGTAACGTGAGTTAGATAAGACTAATCTAACTTAGATGGCTAATGTTTGCTAGCTAACGTCACATCCGGGGGCAGCTAAACTCAGAAAACTAACGTCGGCAAAGCGGTAAACTGCTCTTTGGCCTATTTGCGTATTTGCATTCATTCAGATACATTCAACCCACATGCCACATGTCACACGTCTGATCTGAACACGTTGCAGACGTCTTTTCTAACCTAAAGCGCGTTCCCGTTTCTCACCTCCTCGTCGGTTGGGTTCTTCTGGATTGTGGAAGCTTCCGGTCCGCCGAGAGGTGGTTTCCGTTCCGTCAAATGACTCGTCACCCTCGCGGTAGATCGTAACGACGAACCGTTGCGCTTTAAATGTTGTCAGTAACCGGTGACTGAAGTCTCATCCACACGCGCCCTGTTTAAAACCGTCTGAAGATAATGAGCTGAGCGAAAACCTTTAAATCAATTCCCGTCCAAAAGGTCTGCACGGAGCTGCCATGTCATGACGTCACTTCCTAATCCCTTCCCGGCGGAGGCTCAGTTGGTGCGGAGTCATGAAAGTGTTTGTAAACAACTCAGACGGAAGGTAACTCCACAGCCGCGCTGACACATTCAACCCTGTTTGTTTACTTACTCGTTTGGCCTAGTCCTCTGGTGCCTGCATGTAACGGCATTCCTGTTAGCGTACACGTTGTTGAGGGAAGATGTAACTTAATAAATGTTGGATTTTAGGGTTAGCTGGCCATCTAGCGAGCCTATACCGCTACAGTCTTTAGCCTGACGTTAGCCGGCTAAGCTAATGTTGCCTCACTGTGCAGACAGGATTGGTTCACAGGCTAGCTAATGTCGCTAGTTAGCTAGCGAAAAGACATACATTTGTTTTGCTAGCGCGACCCTCGTCTCTTGACTAAGTGATCACAGCTGATTGGTAGTTATTGATTGGCGAGTTTGTAGCGTTTAAAAAGTCCAAAACAGTTATTTCGCAAGAGCGTTTGGCTTGAGGATCAATGTGTGCTTAGGATAACAATGACACTGTTGAAAATGCTGCGCTATAGTATAATGGTTTTCAGGGTAAATTTAAAACTGCATCCGACGTAAACCGACGCATTCGAGGAGTTTCTGGTTTCGGTTGTGTTTCAAAGTGCCATGTTGTGTCAAGTCTCAAATGACCTCTTACATTACATCTGTCTTTTAATAGGAGCCGCAAACTGGAGTCCCACCAATTCCCACACATATCCCCGAATGTCAAAGCGTCCTGCGGAGTGTCCCTAATCTTGGGATGTGAAGGGTGTTTGAGCTCAAGATTTCTCCATGTCTTCAGGTCGACAGGATGACACAACTGTAACAGCCGGTCCTTAATTCATAGTCGTCCGAGTTGCCGTAGCATTTCGGTGGCCTCCAGATCCCTGTCGTTGCATGCGTGCTGCCTATTGAGTCAAGATGCCTTGGCCGTTTTCGGAGTCCATCAAGAAGCGGGCCTGCAGATACCTCCTGCATCGGTACCTTGGCAACTTTCTGGAGGAGAAACTGAGCTTGGATCAGCTTAGTTTAGACCTCTATCAAGGCACAGGATCACTTGCACAAGTGCCATTGGATAAATGGGTGTGTGTGTGTGTAATGTTACCTTTAATACAGATTTAATGATTTGATTTAATTTACAGAATCTTTTTTTTGAACGCTTCTGTGTTTCTTTTTCTTGTTCAACAGTCACTCAATGAACTCCTAGAGACGGCAGATGCCCCTTTTGAAGTAATCACAGGTTTTATCCAGACAATTTCACTAACCGTTCCGTGGGCAGCCCTACTGCACGAAAACTGCGACCTCGAGGTCAAGGGTTTGGAGATGGTGCTCAGACCAAGACCAAGAGGAGGTGAGGAGAAGCTGTATTACGTGCCACTAAAACACCATCTGGTTGGATTTAAATGTCTCGCCATTCTGTAGCGTATTAAAAAGTTGACACTTGGTTTTATTGAAAAGTCAATGACTATGTCACCGCTGGCTGTCTCTCCAGCATCCGGCACGGAGCCCATGTGCTGGTCCAGTTTCATGACGAGCAGCATGCAACTTGCCAAAGAGTGTCTCAGCCAGAAACTTACAGACGATATGGGAGAGAGTTTCCAGCCTTTTGAGGGGTTGGAGAAGTTTGCAGAAACGATCGAGACGGGTACAATAAGTGGACACTGTTAAGCACCGTTTTAAAACGTTAACCGACCTAGAATTTGTAATTTCTGTTCATTTTCTTTCCTTGCAGTTCTGAGAAGAGTTAAAGTGACATTTTTGGAAACTGTTCTCAGAGTTGAACACATTCCAGATGATTCTAAAACCGGGATCGCCCTTGAGATTCGAATAAAAAAGTAAGTTTGGACAGTATGGGGAACCAGAACATTAGCAAAATGGTGCATAACATACTATGACATATTTTGAAGCATTAGATTTTAACTACACGCCTCCATCCGTTATTGAACATTCCATTATCAGTTTTAATTTCTAAAGTTTAGGATCAGTCAAAAAAGAAAACGCATAAATAAGGGGAACAAGAAAAAATACCATTGAATATTTTTTTCAGTTTTGATTTCGGCTGTGAATCGAGAAAAGGTTGCAGCTACACGTATGGAAGACGCGCCATTATGTAGCGTGTCTTCAAAAAAAGTTTTCCCTTTCTAACTAATTGTGTTCTGCGGTTTCTTACAGAATTGTTTACTGCGATGAAACCGGCGAGGAGACTTCCAGCGTGAATGTGCATCAGCCAACCACGTTCGCACATAAAAACCTGCAGATGGAAGGCATCACTGTATTCTGGGATGAGTTTTCTGATGTGTCCCGTCCTGCTTGTAAATCTTCCCCCACTTCAATGGTTGGTGCAGTGAGTCTTTGAAACTTGTAACGCAGGAACGTGTATGTATGTGTGTGTCTGCCTTTTTAATAAATGTGTCTCTTTATTTTTCAGGAAACTGAGCCAAAGCTCTCCCCTAGCTGGAATCCCAAAATAATATGCGAGCCTCATCCTCAGTTTACGGAGCCTCTGTCCTCGACGACACCCTTTGAACCCGTGCAGATCGGGAGCCTCTGTGGTAAAATCGAGTTGTCCCTCACTCTGAAAAACAACTTGGCTATGCCTGGAGCGAAGGTAGATTAATTTCTTCAGTCCAAAATACTATAAGCAAACAAATCTGGATTATTTCAATAGTCAATATTACAAACAGTGCGTAATTGATTTTAACAGGGTGTTTTACATGCTTTGCTTTGCAGCTGGATGTTGTTGGACATATCGACACACTTCTCGTTCTTCTGTCTCCTCGGCAAGTTCATCTTCTCCTGGACTTGTGTGGAGCTTTTTCTGGGGGAGGTGTGTCTCATCTGTGGTGATAGATCAGAGACAACATTCCAATCAAACGGGGTGATGATGTACGTGAGTAAATGAGTTACTTGGAAGTGGAGTGAATATAGTATTTCTTGTTTTTTTTGTGTGTGCAAGAATGGGCGAAAGACAGAAAGAGCAGACCGATACAGCAAGAGGATGAGTATCGGCTCCATATGGAACTGAACCGCTGTCTCAAGAAGGACACCGCTGTGCTGGGAACAGACCCCGACCTCTTTGAAAGCCAGACCACCAGAACTGTGTCTAGTCGAGGTTGGACCCAAACACCTTCCCGTGACCCCTTGACCTTTCTGAGAACCAGGATGTTGTAGTTGCATTTATCTAATAGAATGTGTTCTTTTCGTGTCTTTCCCCTTTTCGTTTCATTTCTAAAACCATATGTGGTTGCCGTAGATGATGTGTTCTTCTCCATGGCAGACATGGACATGTCTCACAGCTTATCATCCCTTCCTCCTCTGGGTGAACCACCCACCGTTGACTTGGATTTGTCTCTCAATAGCAACTACTCTGCCTCCCCAGGAGAATCTCCTACTGGAATTTCAACAGTAAGTCTTCACCTCCTCGGCCGCAGTCATAAAGACGCAGGGAACTTGAATTTAGTTTAGCATCTGAGTGTTATGGTTACTTTGTCAGATAGTAAAATCTCATCGCATCTTCATACTGACTAAATTAGGACGCATGTGACATGCAGCCGTTTTTAGTTTGTGCTGTAAAAGTTGTCCACAGTGAACTGTTAATCTGTGTTTGTAGGCTATGTGGGATGATTACATGGATGTACCCCGACAAAGAGAGAGGCAAACTAACGAGACTCCCATCCAGTCGCGGGATTCAGAACTTGCTCATAAATTACTGAGACAGAGTAGTAAGTATCTCAGTTTATCTGTATACATCATTTCAACACGTTAAACTATTAAATACAGTCACCCTGTTTCCATGTGTTTCAGAGGGAGAGCGATTTTACATTCTGCCATTGTTGTATTTTTCAGCCCATCCGTCCAAAACTCACGGTGACGAGTCAAGGCCGGAGTTGGTGTTGACGTTGACACTGAGTAGCCTCGCCGTCTCGGTCCTCCACATCGACCCGCTGCCGCCGCCAGATGCTGCTCCCAGTCCCCTCGGCCCCATGGCCGCACACTACTTCCGCATGCTGGGCCCGGGCCAGCTCGCCCCGCCCGCCTTCCTCCAGTCTCGGGCGGTGTTTAACCAAGCCTGCCCCCATGACCACCTGAGGTGCACTTTTGTTTACAACCAATTCCTTTTATGCAAAGGTTATTCTTGATTCAACAAACTGATCTGGGAAACTCTTTGCAGGTTTGTGGGCCAGGGCCTAAAGATCTTCTATGAGCACTGTCAGGGATCCAGTCTGCGGACCTTCAGTACCGACGTCTCCCTTCGCCAGATGGAGTTTTTGGAGTGTCTTTTCCCCTCGGAGGGTGTCCCCGGTGGCTCCCAAAAGGGCATCCAGTACACTGAGGTTAGTGTTTCAAGTCCAAGCTAAGCACATCTCGCGGTGCGCTGATCTTCGGTTTGCTAAAGAGTCCTCGTGCGTGGTATTACATCGAGAGGGATTCCAAATACTTTCTCTGTCGTCCCTCAGCTCCTGACGTTTGACACTGCAGTCGGAGCTGACGCGCCGCTTACCAGCTGCCTTCACCTACTTTACAAACAGGCCGAGCGCAGAGGCCCTCAGGTAACCGTCGGACATGAAACACAAAATACAACACTTGGCACGCAAAAGCCGTGTGTGTGTCATTGTCAGGCTCTTACTCTTACTCTCTACTCTGTGCAGGGCGGCCAGGTTCGCCGCAGCACCG